CACTTTTCCCCCCAAACTACGCATAAAAACAACTGTTCTTTTCTGCATACATTTTTCCGGGGGTTTCCATGACTTTGGATCGGGGGTTGATTTACAAAAGGAAAAAAAAGGCTGTTCGCTTTGCAAGCCCTTTACCTTTACTTAGTGAATAATTGAATTTTATTTTGACCCCACAAGTGCAAAACGGTTTTCTTTATGTGCAACTAAAACCCTATGTTTTAAAGGGGTGCCCCCAAGGTTCATGGGGGACCCCTTTTTTTTTAAAAATATATTTGTAAAGGATTAATTTTGGGAAAAAAAAAATCCCATTTCACCTTTGCAAGACCCCAAACTGTGCATAAAAACCTTTTTTCAAAATACCCAACTTGCAACCGCCCTAAGCACGTTTAATTTGGGAAACTCCCAAGTGCAAAGGGTTTAATTTATTAGAAGGGTTATGCACTTGGGGCTAAAATATCTCATCATCATACTAGGGGGAACAAGGGGGGAATAAAGGGGGGAAAAGGGATCGGAGTTCTGGTAGATCACAAGCTTAAAATGCCATGCAACAGAAAAAACCTCCTTGTATTAAAAAAGGGGTATAGACCTCAGAAGGCACATTTTACCCCTTTACAAATCATTAATAAACCTCACGGGAATATAAATTCATTTTGGGGCCCCAAATTTCACAAAAAGACTTTGGGGGAACGGGAAAATACAGAAAAGGGGCAACCAAACTTTAAGACAGGGAGGACCCGCTATAAAAATTAAAAACTAAATTATTCTCCTCTTGAAAAGGGGGAAATTTAAAGGGGGAAGACAAAAATTAAAAAATACTCAGGGTTCAATATAAATTTGGTGAATTATTCACCCTAAAACATCACGAGAAAAGGGGGCACTTTTTACGTCGGGAGAAAAGAAATGAAATTTTAAAATACAAAAATGTTTCTTTACTAAGGCTAAAAAATTGGAATAACTCCCCCAAATTGGGTTCCCCACTCAGGGGATTTTTAAAAAAAAGAACTGTCGGTATAGGATTATAACTTTTTTTTTTTTTTGTTGAACTGGGTGGACTTTTGTCTTTTTTTCAGCTAGAATAACTATGTAAACTATGTAAGTACTTGACTAGACCAACATCAGACTGGAATCTGCCAAGAGAAACAAAGTGACAGCAATCAGTAAAATATGACTTATAATCCATTCCAGAGCCATTTCTGAGACTCCAAATATGCCTTCAAGGCAAGAGAGAAACATTGTGGTCTACAGTATCAAAGGCAAAACTAAGACCCAATGGAACAGTTAGTGAGCCATAATCAGAAGTTAACAGAAGATCATTAGTGTTTTTATATTTTTTAGATATAAAGGTTACTAAAAAATGATTTTTTAAAACGTTGCCTCTACATTGCCTAAAAAAATCCCATATTTATAGGGGAGTTTCTTTGGGCAAATTTCATATAAGGGATGTTGGCAAACATACAGGAAACATCTCATAATTTTCACAGAGCCATGTTGGGTGTTAGGAATGGACTTGCCAGTAGTGGTGGGACTCACCTGCCTTGTGGGCTGCAGTACCAGGGCTGGCCAGCGGGTGCTCCCAGCAATCAGAGACTCAACCCTGCAGTCAGCCAAACACCTGAAACTGCTTATGCAGGTGTATTTAAGTGATGGCCAGACCTGCAGTCTTTGCCTTGGTGTGTGTGTTTTTCCTGGGCCCTGTATCTTGTATCCTGCATTCTTGTTCTTGTTCCTGTGTTCCTTCCTAGTACGTTTCCTTGTTGCCAAACTCTGCCTGTTCTGATTACGCTGACCCTCTCCTGCTCTGACCCCGGCTCTTTCCTGACCATCCCTCTGCCTGACCCTCTGTACCACGCTGCCCGCTACCTGCTGAACCTGGCTTGTGACCCCGACCATTCTCCGCTTGCTCCCCCTGTACCTACCTGCCCGATTGTTATTGACCCGGCCCGCCTGACGCCGCTTGCATTGTATGTACTGTTATCTGTGGGTGGTTTGGTTTGGTTCGTTTGCACTGTGTTATGTTTTAGTATTGCACTGCATTTTTGTTTGTATTGTTAGTGTTAATAAATTATATTGTTTATAACATATCTGAAGTCTGCGTTTCCCCTGCGTCAGTCACATACCTCTGGTCATAACCCTGGAGCCCTGACATTACACCAAGGCCAATCCTGACCAGAAGTGGCTGCACAGGGAAGCTATCTTGGCTTGTTGATGGGAAGGATGGATCTTGATGAGGTTGTGTATTTATATCTGCTAGTGTTTTATGACAGAGAATATGCTTATCAGACTCTGAAGGAGTATCCCGGGATGAACTGCTAGAATGTATACGGCTCGCTCATGTTCTAGTAGATCAGGGCACAGAATTCTCTGAGGTGCAGCCATTGATTCAGGTTTGTGCGGAGTTGGTTTCATCTGGTACCCCCGAATGCAGGGATGAATTTTTGCCGCCATTTAGTGCCGACCAGGTAGAGTCCCTGGTATGGTTATTAGAGGATGATGTGGATTACTTTCTGGAGCATTATTCTGCATGTTCACCACAGATACTAAGAGATTGTATAAACGCAGTGCAGTCTTTGGTCAGACAGGCTTTGTGTAAGCTCAGCTTTGTTCAACCCATACTGCAGACATGGACAGATTTGTTGCACCAGCCCTCAGTCAGCTTGCAAAAAACCCAGTCCTGCTTCTAATCTATTTCCTCAAAGCTCTATTCCTGCATTCCCAACAGCTCCTCCTGCCCTGCTATCTACCGCATGTCAGTACCCTGTTCCCACTCGCTGCACCTATCCTGCCTTTTAACCCTGTAAAGAAGTCCTCTGTAGCAACTGTTCACTCTCCCCTGTTCCATCCTCCAGCTCTTCTCTGTCTCCAGCTGCTCCATTCGTTTGCAGACTTGCGTTTACTTGCAGTGCTTCAGTAGTTAAAACCAGAAAAAAGCGAAAATTCTTTCCAACCAGTACCATCCTGCCAGTATCCAAACCGGTCTGCCTGCCGTCTGAGAACCTGCCTTCCGTGGTTCAGCCTGGTGCCTCGGCACCCGCACTTCAACCTGATGTCTGTACCCAGCCTGATGTCTGTACCCAGCCTGATGCCTCTACCCAGCCTGATGGCTCCATTCAGCCTGACGCCTCCATTCAGCCTGACGCCTCCATTCAGCCCTGATGCCTCTACCCGGCCTGATGCCCTCCATTCAGCCTGATGCCTCTATTCAGCCTGACGCCTCCATTTCAGCCTGAGACGCCTCCATTCCAGCCTGATGCCTCTACCCGGCCTGATGCCTCTATCTCAGCCTGATGCCTCTATTCAGCCTGATGCCACTATTCAGCCTGATGCCTCCATTCAGCCTGATGCCTCTACCCCAGCATGATGTTTCTACCCAGCCTGATGAACTGATCCAGCCTGATGATCTTATTAGGCCAGTTGGCTCGATGCCCCGCTGTTGATCCAGACGATCCGGTACCTGATGACCCCTGGTGGTGCCCGCGCTGTCATACCTGGTGACCCGATGCCCTGCTGTCGAGCCAGACACGATCCAATGCCTGATGACCCAGTGCCCCCGCTGTCATGCCTGGTGACCCGATGCCCCGCTGTCGAGCCAGACGATCCAGTGCCAGATGACCCGGTGCCTGCTGTTGAGCCAGACCATCCGGTACCTGATGACCCGGTGCCCGTTGTCGTGCCAATTGACTCAGAGCCCGCTGTCGTGCCTGGTGACTCGGTGCCTACTGCCTTGCCAGGTGACGCGGTGCCTGCTGGCGAGCCAAATGACCTGATGCCTGGTGACCCAGTGCCCGCTGTCATACCTGGTGCCCGATGCCCCGCTGTCGAGCCAGACAATCCAATGCCTGATGACCCCAGTGCCCGCGGTCATGCCTGGTGATCCGATGCCCGCTGTCGAGCCAGACGATCCAGCGCCAGATGACCCGGTGCCTGCTGTCGAGCCAGACGATCCTGGTACCTGATGACCCGGTGCCCGCTGTCGTGCCAATTGACTCAGAGCCCACTGTCGTGCCTGGTGACTTGGTTGGTGCCCACTGCCTTGCCAGATGATGCGGTGCCCGCTGTCGAGCCAAATGACCTGATGCCTGGTGACCCGATGCCCGCTGTCCAGCCAGACGATCCAATGTCTGACCCAGTGCCCGCGGTCATGCCAGTTTGACTCGGAGCCCACTGTCGTGCCTGGTGACTCGGTGCCTGTCGCGCTCCGCCCGGGGGTCCGGCGCCCGAAAACCCGCTCCGCCTGGGGGCCCGAGACCTGTCGCTCCGCCTGGGGGTCCGGTGCCCGCCGCACCGCCTGGGGGCCCGAGACCTTTTGCTCCGCCGGGGGGTTCGGCGCCCGCCGCTCTGCCTGGGGGCCCGAGACCTGTCGCTCCGCCTGGGGTCCCGGCGCCCGCCGCTCCGCCTGGGGGCCCGAGACCTGTCGCTCCTCCTGGGGGTCCGGCGCCCCGCTGCTCCGCCTGGGGGCCCGAGACCTGTCGCTCCGCCTGGGGGCCCGGCGCCCGCTGCTCCGCCTGGGGGCCCGAGACCTGTCGCTCCGCCTGGGGGTCCGGCGCCCGCCGCTCCGCCTGGGGGCCCGAGACCTGTCCCTCCGCCTGGGGGTCCGGCGCCCGCCCCGCTCCGCCTGGGGGCCCGACCTGTCCGGCTAGCACCCTGTCGCTCCGCCTGGGGGTCCGGCGCCTGCCGCTCCGCCTGGGGCCCGAGGCCTGTCGCCCCGCCTGGGGGCCCGAGGCCTGTCGCCCCGCCTGGGGGCCCGATGCCTGTCGCCCCGCCTGGGGCCCGGTGCCTGCTGCTCCGCCTGGTGGCCCGGTGCCTGCTGCTCCGCATGGTGGCACGGTGTGCCTGCTGCTCCGCCTGGTGGCCCGGTGCCTGCTGCTCCGCATGGTGGCCCGGTGCCTGCTGCTCCGCTTGGTGGTCCGGTGCCTGCTGTCGAGCCAGATGATCCGGTACCTGATGACCCCGGTGCCCGCTGTCGTGCCAATTGACTCAGAGCCCACTGTCGTGCCTGGTGACTTGGTGCCCACTGCCTTGCCAGATGACGCGGTGCCCGCTGTCGAGCCAAATGACCTGATGCCTGGTGACCCGATGCCCGCTGTTGCTCCGCCGGGGGGTTCGGCGCCCGCCGCTCTAGCCCGCCTGGGGGCTGCTCCGCATGGTGGCCCGGTGCCTGCTGCTCCGCATGGTGGCCCGGTGCCTGCTGCTTTCGCCTGGTGATCTGATGTGTCTCTGCCCGGAGTCCAGCCCGATGTGCCTCTGCCCGGAGTCCGGCCCGATGTGTGCCTCTGCCCGGAGTCCGGCCCGATGTGCCTCTGCCCGGAGTCCAGCCCGATGTGCCTCTGCCCGGAGTCCAGCCCGATGTGCCTCTGCCCGGAGTCCAGCCCGATGTGCCGCTGCCCGGAGTCCAGCCCGATGTGCCGCTGCCCGGAGTCCTGCCCGATGTGCCGCTGCCCGATGTGCCGCTGCCCGGAGTCCTGCCCGATGTGCTGCTGCCCGGAGTCCTGCCCGATGTGCCGCTGCCCGATGTGCCGCTGCCCGGAGTCCTGCCCGATGTGATGCCGCGCTGCCCGGAGTCCTGCCCGATGTGCCGCGCTGCCCCGGAGTCCTGCCCGATGTGCCGCTGCCCGGTGTGCCGTTGCCCGGAGTCCTGCCCGATGTGCCAGTCTTTGATATCCCGCCAGTTACCAGACCCGGGCGGTGGAACATTTTGCCCAGCTAGGACTGTTTGGAGCGTCCTGAGGCCGCTCCTTGAGGGGGGGGGGTACTGTTAGGAATGGGCTTGCCAGTAGTAGTGGTGGGACTCACCTGCCTTGTGGGCTGCAGTACCAGGGCTGGCCAGCAGGTGCTCCCAGCAATCAGAGACTCAACCCTGCAGGCAGCCAAACACCTGAAACTGCTTATGCAGGTGTATTTAAGTGATGGGCAGACCTGCAGTCTTTGCCTTGGTGTGTGTGTTTTTCCTGGGCCCTGTATCTTGTATCCTGCATTCTTGTTCCTGTTCCTGTGTTCCTGCTAGTACGTTTCCTTGTTGCCAAACTCTGCCTGTTCTGATTACGCTGACCCTCTCCTGCTCTGACCCCGGCTCGTTCCTGACCATCCCTCTGCCTGACCCTCTGTACCACGCTGCCCGCTACCTGCTGAACCTGGCTTGTGACCCCGACCATTCTCCGCTTGCTCCCCCTGTACCTACCTGCCCGATTGTTATTGACCGGCCCGCCTGAAGACGCTTGCATTGTATGTACTGTTATCTGTGGGTGGTTTGGTTTGGTTCGTTTGCACTGTGTTATGTTTTAGTATTGCACTGCGTTTATGTTTGTATTGTTAGTGTTAATAAATTATATTGTTTATAACATATCTGAAGTCTGCGTTTCCCTGCGTCAGTCACATACCTCTGGTCATACCCCTGGAGCCCTGACATTGGGTTTGTCAGGCACCAGGGTGATGGCAGTAGTTTTGAGGACTGTTGGAACAAAACCAGTGCTAAGGGAGTAATTTATGATATTGAGAATAATGGGGCATAGAGAACTAAAACAAGATTTAAATAAATGGGTGGGAATGGGATCACGTATGCAGGTGGAAGATTTCATATTAGAGAACAATTTAACCAGATATGCAGAGTCAAGTAGAGAGAAGTGGGAGAGAGAAGAAACAGTAAAAATGGGTGGGTCAGGAAGTGAAGTGGAAGAAGCATATAGTGTAGTAAAAATGTGATGCCTTATTTTGTCAGTTTGTGAGGAGGAAGAAATCTAAGAATGAGTTACAGAGCTATGTTGAGTCTGGTAATGTGGAGGGACAACAAGTGCAGAAGAACTGTTTAGGGTTGCTAAGATTTTTTTTTTTCAATGGCATGGTAGAAACAGTTTGATCTATATATATATGTGTATATCAAATTATTGTGACTCCGAGGACTTTTCTTTACAGATCACCATGGAAGTAAAAGGTCAGTTTAACCAGTCCGTTATAACTGATTTTCTTCTTTTAGAGTTTTCTATTGAACGCCAGAAAAATGTTTGCCTTTTTATTGTTTTTTAATTATCTACATTGCCACCATTACAACAACATTTTCATTATTGTCACTATCAAAGCAGACCAGCGTTTACATAAACCAATGTACTTCTTTATTGGTGGACTGTCATTCCTTAAGCTCTGGTATCCCTCTGTCGCAGTTGCTAGACTCCTATGGTCTCTTAAAACAGAAGATCAAAACATTTCTTCAGCTGGTTGCATGGCTCAGTTTTACTTCCATTTTTCTCTTGGTAGCAACAGAAATGTATCTCCTGACTGCAATGGTGTATGTCAATGGTGTGTGTCTCTATTTGCAATCCACCTCACTATTTAATGATCATGAGTCCCAATGTTTGTACTATGCTTATACTGGGATCATGGGTATGTGGATTCACTGGGGTGATTGCTGCATGCTGGAGACTATCCACACTTTGGTACTGTAAGGGAAATAAGATAGATCACTATTATTGCGATTTGATCCCATTGATTCGCTTGTCTTGATCTGATACAACAAAAGCTGCGAAATGCATCTTTCTATTCCATATGTTTTGTAACTTTAGAGTGTCTTTTCTTGACTTTGATTATCATTCGGGGGTAATACATGCATAAGATATTATATTGTCTTCTGCATCAGCAAGGCATAAAGCATTTTCTACTTTTGCCTGCCATTTATTTTTTTGTTATCCTTTTGTTGGATTTTAGACACATATAATACTTTTTCTAGTGTCTTGAGGCGATTATGAATGAAAGAGCCATTGAAATAAAAATGAAGTGTGATTTTATTCTATCACACAATGGTGTAAAATAACAATGTAAAGCGTATTATGAACAGTTCCATGTAGATAAAACTACTGTAAAAATAACAAGCAAAAGTTCAGAGATAAAGTCACCATTTTTATGTATTGAAGTACGGCCATGTGCTGTTCTGTCCTTCATGTGATCTTGTCTTGTACAACACAGAGTCCGAGTAAGAAGACGGAAGTGACGTTAATGACTATTTCTTGTCTTGCAGCACCTGTTCCAGCTTGAACAGCCATGTGTGTGTGTGTTAGAATGTCAGTGTTAGCGTGTGTGAGTCCCAGTCTCTGTCCCTCAAGGCCCCCTTTATGCAGCATGAGTGTGTCATCTTAATACCTTGTATGGCATAGAAGGGAGGGGACGACACTCACATAATGTCTTTGATGGACAGGAACATATGTATGGAACCCTCAGCTATATATTTAAAGAATAATATAGCTTAAGAACATATCAATGTATAATCACTAAAACTATATATGTATCAATGTTAGAAACGTATACTAAATACACACAGATACTATTAAAATACGTAATGTAATAGTAAGTCCCACTTCTAATAACCTTGACATATACTACCAGCCTAAATATAGTATACTCAGCCTTCAGCTGGTATAGCTGTCTCAGCTAACTTACCACTCGTATTTTTTCGCCGTATAAGACGCACCAATGACCATAAAGACGCACCTAGGTTTTAGAGGCTGAAAACAGGAAAAATGAACTAAATAGACTTGCACGGGAACAGTACAGGAGATGACTGCGGACGGCACATGACAGAGACTGCGGCCAGCCACAGGAAGACCATGGACTGGCGGACAGCAACAGGGATGACCCCCCCAGCAGACTGCGGACAGCACAGAGGATAGACCAGAGACTGCCGGACCAGCACAGGGCATGACAGAGACTGCGGACAGCACAGGGATGACCAGAGACTTGCGATGGGACAGAACAGGGATGGACAGACGAGCGGACAAAGCACTAGGATTTCAATGACCAGAGACTTGCGGACCGAGGCACAGGGATGACCAGAGAGACATGCGGAACATCACTTACTGGTATGGACCAGACGACTGCGGACAGCACAGGAGATGCCCAGGACTGGGACAGCAAAGGGATGACAGAGATCGCGGGGACAGTACAGATGGACTGCTGAGACCTACTTGAGGGAAGTCGCGAACGGAGCGGACGTACCTGATATTATTGACAGGTACCCGCTTCGTACTTCGCCAGAGTTTTTGTTTGTATCTTATGTTCCTCGATTCCAGCCGCGTGCTGTCTTCCGCTTTTGTAATTGGCCCGGCATG